TCTAACCTCTTACTAGAATTTCTTATAGGCCAAGAATTTCAAGATAATATGAGGGGGATTCAAAAAGTTTGTGGAACAATTATATTAATTATTAATAAAATTAATTATTAATAAAATTATTAATAAAATAAAATAAAATAAAAATTATTAATAAAAATATTAACTCAATTTCCCCCCATTAACTTTGCAAATCTCCATTGTTCATTTGTGTTTGTCTGAGTTTTTATTGTGGGCTTAATTAGGTTTATGAATTGTGTCAAAAAACAAGAATGGTGGTGAGATAGTTTATTGTGCCAGCCTGGCCGGTAAACACAAGTGGGATTAACTGAAGGGCAGAGAGATAAATGCCTTGGTGGTCTTGCTTTCTTGTCTCTCGCTCTTTGATCATCGGACCAGTGTGCAGCTGCCTTGCTTGTTCTGTGCCTCAATTTAAAGGCTACACTACCTATGGGACACCTAGCCCGTGGACTCTGTCGCTGTAAGTTGAGGTCCCTTTAAGACATCTCTGGAGCTGGGGACCGGCAGTTGGTGACCTGCCTTGCGATTGGCTGCTATGCTGACATAGCCTAGCTCTCTCTATAAATAGAGATCTGGCAGCAGACTAGACTTGAAGGACTGCTAGTCTCTCACAACTCTCTCACGGGAGTGAGTTGCATTGAGCCATTTGTAGTGCTTTATAATTTAACTGTTTATTTCTTGTATTATATATTTATCTGTATATGATTTAACAGTTCATTTCTTGTTATATATCTAATTATCTTCATAAATAAATATATTAAGTTATCAGCAATTTGGTTTTATCTCTCTAGAGAACCCTGTCTAACACAGGTGGTTAGTATTTTTGAGTACTTATCATAAATTTTGTTTTATGGTGAAACACTTTGTAGTGAAGCTATTTTAACAAAGTTCTGGTTCACGTCACCTGAAACAAAAGCCCTCATGAATTGAGGTTAAGCATTGGGTTACTAGTCACTAGTTAGCAGAAATAAATGAGATTAGACAAAGGAGTCTGCTTCATCTTTACTGCCTCAGAAATTATATGAAGCAGTTCCATTCTGTCCTATTAGGTCATGCTAAACTGAAATCAACTCTACGACAGTGTAATTTTTTTTTTGAAGCCACAGAAAAGATAGACTGCCATTAAGCTACATTCTGTACTGTATTTTAGAAGTAGTGAGGTAACAGAGTATTTAAATATGAGAGTCATTAAATCACTAAACTAGAATATTAGGCTAAGGATCTGGTGTTGATAGTACTGCATATGTGAGGGGATGAGAGGTGGGCATCACAGGTCTGTCACAAATCCATAATTTACATTTTCGGATGGCAAATTACATGAGAACACTGATTCTGACAGACACACCAAGTATCTGGCCCACGGGGCTCCTATTTTTAGGTTAACTTCCTGATTTCCCAAGGCCAAGAGAAACACAAGACCTAAACTAACAACCACTGCCATGATGATGACACCTCTACTTACGTGGCTCTTTCTGTTCTTGACCTAGTATTGTGTACTCCTCAGTGTGTTTTGTACAGCCTTAGAGAGGGGGGACATACCAAATATTTTTTCAAGAACTTCAAAAGCAGCATGAAAGCAAAATTAAGAACAATGCATTTTATAAATCATTAACATACCTTATCTGCAAACATACCAATACATCAAAGAAAACAGGAAAAAAATTAGGTTCCCTCCTACTCTTTGCAAAAATTAAAACATTTAATCTGAGCGTGAGATGGCATAGTCTCCCTCTGTAACCTAATTCCAGTAAAAGAATGACAGTGAACTCATACTGTATTTCTTCACGAAATAAAATCTTTCAATGAACTTCATAGATAATTCTGCAGCGCATCAATTATAATCAGATCTTATATAAGTCAATTTGATGTCAAAAAAGTATCAAAGCTATAAAAGTTTTAGATGTAAAATTGAATTTACCTTTCATTAATACACCATCTCATAAAGAATGCCCAAACCAAAGCCACTGCCATCAAGCTGATTCTAATTCACAGCAACCCTATGTAGAGGTCCTGAGACTGTAAATCTTTATGGGAGGAGACAACCTCATGTGTCTCCTCGGAAGCAGCTGGTATGTTTGAACCACCAACCTAGCAGCTAACAGGCCAATGCCTAACTCCAAGTGTCACCTGGGATACTTCTCATAATGAATGAAAGGGGTAAAATTGGAAGACGGGAAAGATTTACATCCAAGGTAAAAACCACGCTGGTTACACAAACTATTAACATTATATAGCATATCATGCCTGGAGGTAAAAACCTTGAAAACCTAGTTATTAGGACCAAAAATAAAACAATAATAATACTAGTAATAATTCATTAGAAAACACGATGCAACAACTTCTCAAAAACGATGTTTAAATTTTAATTCTTAAAAAACTATGGCATTATCTTTAAATCCGCTGTGGCTATGCTGTGAGGCATTAAGGAGTTGATGACTGGCAAAATAAAAATGTTTACTTAGAAGCAGTTGTTCAATAGTCTTTGTAGAAATGGGGGCAGTGCTACTGAAGTCAAACTAATTTATCTAAGTAATGCCCACCTTTTACCATTGCAGTCATAATGGCTTCTAGAGTAATATAGATCTTTTTTAGCCTTAGAGAAAGTGTTCTACCGTAACTCTTTGTTTTCTGTTTTACAACTGAGTAGCAATAAAAATATCAAAGGTAAACAAAAATAACTATTAATCAACTGCCATCAAGTTGTTTCCCACTTGTAGCAATTCTATATGGCAGAGTGCAATTCTTCCTAGAGTTTTTGAGACTATAAAACTTCACAGGAGACAGCCTCATCTTTTTCCTTCCGTCTAGCTGGTAAGCTTGAGCCACCTACCTTGTGGTTAGCAGTCTATCATTTAACCCAAATGTGCCACCAAAACCCAAACAAACAAACTGACTGCCATAGAGCAAATCCTGACTCATAGCGACCCTGTGGCTTTCAGAGATTGTTGTTACTCTTCACAGGAGCAGAAAGCCTCATCTTTCTCCCTCAGAGGAGCTAGTGGTTTCAAACTGCTGATTTTTCAGCTGGTAGCTCAACTCACAACCCACACCACCACTAGAACTCCTTAAAAGAACTACTAAGCTTGTTAATATAGAAATTATACAACTCCATCTAACAGTTTTGATTAAATACTTTTTCTATTCCACTACGCATTTGAAAATATGACATATGGGCTCTACATGCAATTTATTTTTTACATGTAATTTAAAAGCTTGTTTAAAACAGCAAATTATCTTATGAAGATTAAACAACAGATACAGTATCCAGAAAATATTTGATTGTATGAAATAGCCAATGGCTTTGCAAAATCCTAAATTAGGAAAATATAGGAACCTAAAGTCAAAGACTTCAAGATAATCTAACAACATAACAAAAGGAAATTACCTTATTTCTACTAAAATGATGATCAACATTGCAGTCATTATTTTTCTAGCACAATTAGACTTTTGGTGCTGTATCTTTTATAAAAAGGAGCCCTGGTGGTGCAGTCGTCAGAGTTGCTTGGCTGCTAACCAAAAGGACAGCAGTTTGAACCCACTAGCTGCTCCACAAAAGAAAGACGTGCTAGTGGGTTTCCATAAAGAAACCCTATATAGGGTCTCTATGAATCTGAATTACTGGAAGGTAATGGGCTTGGTTTGATTTTTGTGTCTTCTATAGAAAGAACCTTTATATTGATCATCCCACATGCTCTATCCATAGTTTTCCACATCACTTAAAATATATTATTAATACATTGTATGAAAAATTTCATTTACATACTAGCCCTGCAAATCTGTCCAAAATACCCATCAAATTTTCCAGCGATAACTTGAGTGAACAGTGAGATGAAGATCTGGTACACTCTCGGACTGTGGTGATTTCACTTCTTATTTTAGGTGCCTTCTGAACCAAGAAACTTGCACTGACCACATGTTACACTGTGGTAAGTAATGTGTCCACTCAAGCTATCAAAACAGAACCACTCAGGACTGAGCATCTGTAAAATCCCGTGTCCCAAGTCTTATTTCCAGTTTAATTTTTTGAAATTTAAAAATAATAGATTACATATGTTTTAAAAGATGGAAAACTGGTCTAGTATTTAAAATAAACTAATTTTTAAAATACACGAAAAGCAAAACTATACTGTTAAAATTAGGGGAGGGAAAAATCTTTCTTTTCAAATCACTCCTTTCACTACCTTGTTCCAACATCACTTCCTTTCCACCTCTTCCTCCAGTCTTGTGGGCAAATCAGTGATTAATACCACCTCCCCAACCCCAGGCTCTTACAAGATTCACTGCCCACAAATGAAAAAAACCATCAAGTCAAAGTACACTACTCGAGTGGTCTTTGAAAGACACCTGTGAAGATGTCAAAGCTCTAAGTTAGATCCCCCAGGGTGCCTTTTCTTCCTGGACCACCTTTTCTCATTGTCAATGCCTCCCTCAAATCTGTAGTCCAGATGAGTGCCTCCCCAATAGCCCCTCGCCTCTCCAGTCAAACCTCAATGTTACCCTCCACTGCCAACCAGCCCCCCACCCACCGCGAGAGAGCCGGCAGCCGCGCTCCCCTGCTCGCCCGAGGGCTAACACACACGCCCAGGCCCTGCTCCGGGACCCGTCTTCCCCATCCCCAAACCCGAGCGCATCTCCCCCTCGGATCCCACACTCCCTCGGGACCCCGTCGGTCTTCGCCCCCTCACGATGCTGCCTTCCAACGCCTCCAGCTTCTTCCCTCCTCCAGGCCACAGAGCCTTCATTCAGCCTTCCACTTCGTCCCGCCCCTCCACCTCTTCCTCAGTCTCGGGTCTTCGTCAACCCCTCAGGCCCTAGGGCGCCCCACCACCACGTCCCTCAGATTCCATTCTACGGGCGCCCTCAACCGTCCCCCCGGGTTTCTCCGGACCCTAGTCCCTCAGCAGCTCCCCGTTTCCGTTCATCCCAGACGCTCCACTCTCCCGCTGCTGCAGACAAGCACCCACTCCGGAGCTCCCACTCACCTCCGCCGCAGGTGTCCGGCTCCCTCGAGCCACCTCCGAGCCGGCGTCGGAGCCGCCCAGGGAGTGCGGGGCCCTCCGGGCCTCGCTGGAGCGAAGCGCCTCTAGCGGTGGGGGCGGAGCCCGGGGCGGGGAGCGGGAGTGGAGGCGGGAGCGGTGACGGCTGCGCGCCGGCATAGCTGCGGCCCCAAGCACTGGCGCGCGGACAGCAGCAAGAACCCAAACCGGAACTACTTCGAGAGGCGGGGTCCTACCGGTGGGAGGCGGGGTCTCCGTGGCAAGGGGCGGGGCCAAAACCGGAAGCGAGGTGGGCTCAAGATGAGCCTGAGTAAAAACAGAGATGGGAAGCCGCAAGCGGCGAGGGGGGGGAGCGGAGGACGCATGCGTCAAGCTTCAGGCCAACTTGGGAGGGGAGGAGGAGGAGTTAGTAGAGATGGGGCGGGGCCTATGGAATTGTTACCGTTGATTGCCTTTTCAACCTGACAGTTCCAAAGCTGTTGAATAGATTCCGAGTCCCTACTGGACAGAGGAGAGAAGCTCCATAGGGTTTCCAAGATTAAGTTTTTACCGGAGCCCCATCTTTCTCCCTCAGAGTGGCTGGTGAATTAGAACCACGGCCTTTGCAGTGAGCAGCGTCCCAGTGCTTAACCCACGGTGCCACCAGGCTCCTTCCTTATGCTAGTCTGTGTAAAACGGAATCGTTCTGACAATTCTCAAACCAGTTGCCTCTGAGTGGATTCCCACCCCAGGAGTGTCAGACCTGTGCCCCATAAGGTTTTCCATGGCGGATTTTTCAGAAGTAGAACTGCAGGCGTTTCTTCCAAGGTATCTCTGGGTGGACTTCGCACCCAGCACTTTCACTGTTTGCACAACTCCTGTGCCAACTTGAAGAGGTAGACATTATGACACAGAAGAGACAAGTAACTTGCTTGAGCTACGTCTGTTCATATGTCAAAGCCACTACCGGAAGCAAATCTCACTTTAGAACCTGTGCTCTTCTCACCGCCCTTCACCCTGAGGGAAGCCCCCAGCCCCCAGCCCAATCCAGGCCTGGAGGAGGCATAAACTAAGTTCGGAGCCAGGTTTTCCTGGGCTCCAGTCCCTCCTTAGCCCTGCTTCCTCACATGTTGCTGGTAACCTCAGTGGGCCTGGTGGTGATGGGGGCAAGTTGTGGTAGACATGAATGAAGACTGTTTCCATGGGATGCTCAATGGCCTTTCCCCCTAGGCTGGATCTAAGGGTAGGGGCTGATGGTGAGCCTTTTGCGCTATAGCTCACACCCCTTCCAGATCTCTCACCACCTGGGAGGTCACCTGGGAGACCATAAGACATCTCCTTATTTCTGTTGAAAGCCAGCCCTGGCAGCAGGGCAGAGAGAAGGGCAGTTTCTATTCTGGGCCCAAAGCCCCAGGCCACCTAGTGACGTCTTCCTCTTACCCATCTACATGTTTCTGATGGCAGTGAAGCCCTTTGGATCTTACCAAGAAGGGGGAACTAACCTCACCTCCATCTCCCCCTTTGACCTACAATGCCCTTCCAGCCTTCTCTCTCGAGACATTAGATGGCTTCACTATAAGGCCATTGCATTTCAAGCCTTTTCCCACAAACCCTGTGAGCACAATTTAGATGAGATCCTCTATGCCTCCTTTTCCTATTCCTTTGGCTCTAGAACTCAGGAAACTGCCCCTGTATCCCATAATCCAGACAAAAGACTCCTATCCAGTTTTTGACGTATTCAGTCATGCCGAGTTTTCTGGTTCTGTTTTAAACAATTCACCTGCAGAGACCGTCACCTCTTCGCCACCATGGATGTCTACTTTCCCGGGGGCCTCTTGTGCAAGACTCCAAATGTATTGATTCCACAAGTGTTTCTGAAGCACCTAGGATGTGTCTGGCCCTGGTTTGTTCTGTCCCACATAGGTCACTAGGAGCCACAGCTGACTGGAAGGCACCTAACAAAAGCAGCCTGTGCTTGACACCGCCTAACCTCTGTCTCATTTCATTCTCACAACAGTTCTCTGAGATGGGCGGAGTTATCCTTACTTTTCAGATGCAGAAACAAAGTGACTTGCAGAGGTCTCTGGTTTCCTATTTCTCGTGGTGACTTGCTGAGTCACTATCCTGGCCCACCTGCTCCTGCCAGTCTCCAGGAAGGAGAAATGACCCTGGGGAAACAGAGAGCAGTGACCTCAGAGGCAGAAGCAGTGTGCAGGCCTATGGCTGAGGCCTTGCCCTCAGAGCTGGGGAGAGAGGAAGCTGTGCCTTGCTCCAGTGTCCTGGAGCTGGAGGAGCTCTTGAGGGAGGGGAAGGTCTCCTGCAGCAGAGTGGATGAAGTATGGCCCAACCTTTTCATCGGAGATGTGTGAGTGATAGGTAGTGGAGAGGGTGAGGGAAAGGAGAGACCGTTCTTGGCTTTTTAGCAGGGATGGGGGAGGGATGAAAACTAAGAAGGATCTTTCTGCTCTGAGCATCCTAGGCCAGCGACTTAGTCCGGGACCTTCTGTGTTGTGGAGCTCTGGTGGCAGAGTGGGTTGACATTTGGACTGCAAAAAGCAAGGGCAGCGGTTCAAGCCTACTAACAGCTCTATCGAGAGAGATGAACCGTTCTGTTCTCACAAAGATTTACAGACTCTAAAACCCACAGGGGCAATTCTACTCTGTCCTAATAAAGTTGCTGGGAGCAAGGTTGCCCTGGACTGTAGACCATGTAATGACCTGGATCAGCCACCAGAGGGAGGGAGGGAAGGAGGACGGGGACTGCCTGCCTGAAAGAGACAGGCTTCTCAGAGGCCTCTGAAATCTTCCAGATATCCTAATCTATTGCAGGGGTGGGGAGGGCGGTGCTGGGGGAGTCAAGGCCTAGAGAATGGTGATTCATGGGGTAGAGAGAGAGCCACCCTTCCTGGTCCCATCTTATCTGGTCAACAAGTGGGTGAAGAAGCCCGAGTGAAGATGAATCAGGGAACATTCTAAACACTCACAGATTAGAAACAGGTAGGAGGTGGTGACCAGAAGAGTTCGGATGTGTGTGGGAGGGCATGAGTACAGAGGGTGGGGTGGCTAGGTCCTAAGGTTGAAACAATTCTTTCCTTCTACCTTGGCCAAGACAGGGACCTTGAGGATCTAAAAAGAAGTCCTTGCACTACCCAAACCTCTCACCAGGAAGGTTTGGGGTGGGCCTGTGGGCTGCAGACCCACGCTGGAGCTTGCTTGGGACCCTAATGATGCCTCCATTTCCCTGAAGCAGAGGTGCAGCTAAAGCCTCCTTGCTGGACCCCATGGCCCAGCAAGCATTCCTCCTTTCTGTCCTCCCAGGGCCACAGCAAATAACCGCTTTGAGCTGTGGAAGCTGGGCATCACCCACGTGCTGAACGCTGCCCACGGGGGACTCTACAGCCAGGGGAGCCCTGACTACTACGGCACCAGTGTGAGCTACCTGGGGGTGCCAGCTCACGATCTCCCCACCTTCAACATCAGTGCCTACTTCTCTTCTGCTGCTGACTTCATCCACCGTGCCCTCAGCACACCCGGGGGTAGGACTTGGGGTCTTTCTCCCACATTCCAGCCTGCTGGCCAGGGAGGATACGGTTTCTCCTTCAAGGGTCAATGGCCTCCCATTCCTGGTTTTTTAAAAAGCCAGAAATATTTGGGGGCGGGGGGTTCCTTCACTTTTACTCTCAGTGTTCCAACCCCATTACTTCAGGAATGGGAAAATGGTGAGTTAGCAGCAGTTCTAGGGCTGGAAGTCAATGCTCACAAGCAGCAAAACCAATGTTCTTTTTATACCATCACATACACATGCACACACACACACACACACACAACCCTTCAAATATCTATGGTACAACAATAGGGAAACTGAGGTTTATCCTGGGTGACAACCTTGCCCATTGCTACAAGACCCTGAGCAACCACTGTCCATCTCTTGACTTCGCTTTCTTCACCTGGGTGAGGGAATGACAAAGCTACCACCCATAGCACAATTTAACATTCAAAACACTTTAATATCCATTCATTCATTCACCAGCTATTTCCTAGGCCCTGAGTTAGATATTGGGAATTCACAGGTAAGCATGTCAGGGCCCCTACCTCCTGGAAGGGTTGCACATCCCGTGGAAAGGCAGGCAGACTGTGAAAGGGGCGGCGAGTGGTCCAAGGGGTAAAGGTGAAGGGTAGGGACCCTGAGCCCACTCAGGAAGAACGATGGGAGACCTGCATTTACAACAGGGCCACATGCAAAGATGATGAGCTGTGCTGTGATTCAGGCGACACCTTGAAGTAGTCAGGAAGGCCAAGTGAGGAAGCAACATTTCCATTCGAAGCCTGACGAGTGACTAGCAATGAGTCAGATCAAGAGCCGAGGAAAATTTCCTCCAGTAGTTGGAATAACATGTGTTAAAGCTGGGGCTTCTTGGACTTAACCAAATGTCCTAAGGGCATTGGGACTGAGTGAGAGCTCAGAACGGTCATCTGAGGGGTAGGGAAACCAAGGTCAAGTGGCATAAGGTAGTTCACAAAGAGAGTGTTCTCCGTTCTACTTGTGCAAGTAACAGCGAGGGTCTTCAAAAGCTGGCCAACTAGCATCTAAGGGGAAACTGTTAGAAGAATTCACGCCCGGCTGGTGACCCTAGTGCGTTTATAGAGAATCGCAGCTGTTTCAGGTTCTACAGTAAATGGAACACAAGCCAGACAGAGCCCACGGCACAGTTGCGGGACTGCGGCCTGGCCTCTCCCGACCATAGCCCAGCTGTGCTACATCGTGTAGCAGCCGCTGGGAAAGACAGAGCCCAGAGCAAATCCTCTGGCCTTTTCAGGGGCCCCGTTGTGAGGCGTGGTCGGCAACACTGGTCGACCCTATTGGCTGAATCAAATTCACCTGGCCTAGGTGGGCCAATCCAGGTGTAACGCCCACCTAGGTGTACCGCCCCTTCCTGGCCAGAAGCTAAAACTTCTGAGCATGCCTAATGGATGCCCCCGTTGTTAGCTACCTAACCAAATTATAGGTCTCTCCACATCTGTAGGAAAGAAGAGTGATGAAAATGGGAAGATACCTGGAAACAAAGTAGTCAGTCCAGTATACTAATAGACCAGGCAAACACTCACTAATAGGCCAGTCTCCACACCCCTGGGATCCGAAGAACTAGATGGTCCCTGGCTACTCTACCAACCACTCTGCAAAGGATCATTTTAGGACATCCTGGATAGAGTGAAAGAAAAATATAGTACAAAACCCAACGTCCGTCTTACTGGTCAATAGGGACTGATAGAACCCTTCAGACCACAACCCTTAGTCACCATTCAGTCCTGGAGGGGCAGCTCATGCCGGTGCTAGAATAGTCAACTCTTTACGATCAAACGGGCAGCGTGTGCAGAAAGACAGAGGCGAGAGGATTAGGAAGGAAGGAGGAGTGGAGACAGGAAACAGAGTACACAGAGGGGATTGCAATGGATGCGCTAAAACACAACGTGTATGAATCGTTGGAGGTAAGACTGATGATCTTTCCTGCAAACCTTCACCTAATTCACAGCGAAAAGTTAAAAATAAATACACAAAGCTTGAGACCAGAGACCATGAGAACTCCAAGGGACTGAAAGCTACCCAGTCTTCCTAGACTTAAGTAGAGCTTAGGGTTGGAGCGGAATCACCTGAGTTGAGATTGGAAGTCAGCAGGAACAGTTCCTGGAGGGCCTAGATAGTAGTGTGGACTTGGACCCCATCCCCAAAGAGAGGCTGGTCTACCCATTTGACAAATAAGGAAACTGAGGCCCATAAAGTCTGAATGACCTGCCTAAAGTAACAGATTGGGTCTCCACTCCTGCCCCTGGGAGGGCCCCCTGGGAAGGAACTGTCTTTCATGAAGATGTCTTTCTCAGCCAAGGTCCTGGTGCACTGTGTGGTGGGTGTGAGCCGCTCAGCCACGCTGGTCCTGGCCTACCTCATGCAGCACCATCAGCTGTCCCTGCGCCAGGCGGTGAGCACGGTGCGGCAACATCGATGGGTCTTCCCCAACCGAGGCTTCCTCCGCCAGCTTTGCCAGCTGGATCAGCAACTGCGGGGCGCAGGCCAGAGCTGAGAGGCCAGGTGAGGACTGGGCAGGGGTTGAAAGTCAGGTACGGGGCTGGGCAGAGGGCAAGGGGCAAATTAGAAGTAAGGGGTCAGGTTGAGATCCAGGCGAGGGCCTTGGGACGGGCCAAGTTCAGTGGTTGGTTGGCAGGGCTGTGTGCCTGGAAATGAGGGTTGAAGGGGCCAAGCCCACTGCCCAAGATGATGGGCTCCCTCACTGACCTAACATGTAACTAGGGCCTGGTTTAGGCAAACTCCCTCCTTACCCACAGGCCACCCAGCTTCTTCAGCCCTCAGAGAGAAAGAAGGAGATGGGAGATATAAAAAGAGGCTGGTGAGGCCCTCTTAGCTTATCTTAGAGCTTGCCTGTCCCGTGTTCTCAGCTGATAGGTGGTGGGGGCTCACCCTAGCTTCACCAAGGTCAGTCTTGGCACCTGTGGTCTGGCACTTCCAATACCTCTGCCAAGCCGATAACTCTGGCACTTCCTTCCCCTCAGGTCCATATCCAGCTGTGGTCTCAGGAAGAACAGGTCAGGCTTACCTGAAACTACATCTCATCTCAGCCAGTCTTCCTACTGCCACAAGGAAGGCGGGCATGTTCCCAAATGTGCTCCTTCGACCTGCCACGACCTCTAAAACCCTGCTCATTACAGGACTTCTCCTGTAACCCTCCTGTACTGGCCCCAGTCAGTTCTCTGCCATGTTCCCAGCACCTAAATCCTACCCGTCTCCTCTTTATTCTCCTTCGGATCGCAGATTGCTACAGAGGGATCCTCCCTACCCTTCTTCCTTGTCCAGTTCTGGAGACCCCTTTAGGACATAGAAGTCTTCTTGGAGCCTAGACAGACTCTTCCTACCTCGATTTACCCCGCCTTCTGGTTCTGTGTTCAGGGCAACTGAAACAAGAAATAGCCCCTGGTCCTTAAACTCCACAAAAGGAGCAGACCCCCAATGTTTTCTCTTCCCACGCTGACCTCCCCTGCAGGAGACCTTAGTGTCCCCACCTGCCCAATAGAGGGGGTGGGTTTCTCAGTATCGTGGTCCTTGCTGGCTCTTAGCAAGTTGGTCCCTGGCTCATGATGACCCAGTGTGCAAGAGGATCACACCAGTGTGGCCTGTAGGCTTTTCATTAGCTGATTTTTACAATTGATCTGAGTCCAAAGGATAAGAAGTAATCAACTGGTTTTGTATTTATTTTTAAAATTATTTTATTTAGGGCTCGTACAAGTCTTATCAAAATCCAGACATCCATCCATTTTGTCAAGCACATTTGTACATTTGTTGCCCTCATCATTCTCAAAACACTTTCTACTTGAGCCCTTGGTGTCAGCTTCTCATTTTTCCCTCTCCCTCCCCCACACTCCCTCATGAACCCTTGATAATTTATAAATTATTGCCTTTTTTGTTATGTCTTACACTGACTGATGTCTCTCTTCACCCACTAGGGCTGTATGCAGATCATTGTGATCAGTTCCCTCTCCCTCCCCACCCCCCACCGTCCCCTTACCCACCTGGTATGGTCCTGAGGGTTTCTCTCTCCTGGGTTCCTTGTGCTTCCAGCTCTTATCTGTACCCATATACGTGCTCTCTGGTCTAGCCTGATTTGCAAGGTAGAATTGGGGTCATCATAGTGAAGGGGTTAGGAAGCATTAAAGAACTAGAGGAAAGTTGTACATTTTATCAGTGCTATACTGCACCCTTACTGGCTCGTCTCCTCCCCGCAACCCTTCCATAAGAGGATGTCCAATTCCCTGCAGATGGGCTTTGGGTCCCCACTCTGCACTCCCCTCATTCACAATGATATGATTTTTTTGTTCTGGGGCTTTGATGTCTGATACCTGATCCTATCGACATCTCACGATCACACAGGCTGGTGTGCTTCTTCCATGTGGGCTTTGTTGCTTCTCAGCTAGATGGCCACTTGTTTACCTTCAGGCTTTTAAGACCCCAGACGCTATATCTTTTGATAGCTGGGCACCATCAGCTTTCTTCATCACATTTGCTTATGCACCCATTTTGTCTTCAGCAATCATGTCAGGAAGGTGAGCATCATAGAATGCCAGTTTAATAGAACAAAGTGTTCTTGCATTGAGGGAGTACTTGAGTAGAGTCCCAATGTCCATCTGCTACCTTAATACTAAACATGTAAATATATGTATAGATCTATTTCCCTATTGTTATATATAAATATATTTACATAAGTATATGCCTGTATTTAGACCTCTATAAATGCCTTTTGCCTCCTAGTTCTTTCCATTATTTCCTTTTACTTTCCTATTGCCCCACTATCATGTTCAGCCTTCATTTGAGTTTCAGTAATTCCTCTCGGTTACATTGCCCCTGATCAAGCCCTACCAGGCCTCCTACACCTTCCTCACCATTGATTTTAGATCACTTGTTCCCTTGTCCCTGGGTTTGTTAACACCCACTTCCTTTCTTCCGCCTCCCCCTGTTCCATGCCCCCCCCCTCCCCAAACTGTTGGTCCAGTTCTTTTCTCCTCCAGATTGTTTATACCACCTATCTTATCTAGATAGACCTGCAGAGATAATAATATGCACAAAAACAAAACAGAGCAAAATAAAGCAACAAAAGAAAAGAAAACAACAACAACAACAAAAAAAACAACAAACAACCCCCCTATAAATAGTATAAGTTCTGTTTGTTGACCTTTAGGAGTGTTTTTTGGTCGAGTTGATGGGGTGCCACATCCTGGCCCCACAGTCTATTTTTGGTATCCACTGGGGACTTCATTGCTCTGCTCCCCTGCTGTTCTGTTGCACACCCTTAGTGTTTTGCCTCAGTGTGGTGGGGTCAGATCTGGCACAATTCCCTCACTGTGTCTCCAGTGTTGTCCCCCAGAGTGCTATGGGTCATTGAGGGACATCATGTCTCGTGGTGGCCGGCCATATGGTCCTCTCTGTGCATTGACTGCTCTGAGCAGGGATAGCGTCCTCAAGGCATGGTGGGCCAGAACATGCTCCACTCTCTCCCCCACCTTTGTTTGCTCCTGTGTGCTCTGATTAGACATGTTCCACGCCCTGAGCTGTCGCTTCAGCCCTGCCCTCTGAAGTGAATTCTTCTGACGAAGGAGGCATCAATTGATTTTCGAAAGTAGATCACTCGACCTTTCTTTCTAGTCTGTCTTAGTCTGGAAGTTCCACCAAAAGGCTCACAGCCTACAAATGGTCACCAAGATATTGATTTAGTTTCTTGTACATCAACCTTCTGTTTTCTTGTAGTGCAGTTGGGGGGAGGGAGAGATGCTTTCCCCAGGATGGAGTGACTGTGGGAGCACCAGGTTTGTAAGGAAAGCTTCAAACCCACTGCCCACCACATCCAGGTTCACTGTCCTTGTCTGGTCCCAGCAGCACCGCCTTCCGTACAACCACATCCCCTCGGAAGGCCTGAAGACTATGACTGTTCTCTCATTCTTCCACACAACTCCAACTGCTGCTTCCCCTCCTGGTCCTTGTTTTTGTTTCCGAACACAGAGCTAACCCAAACAAAGGGGAGGCACTTTTGCAATGTTGAATCCTTTTTACATGCTGTCTGCGCATGAGCATTTGGGGAAAGTTAGGGCAAGATGTGGGGCTAGGTTTAGAGTTTGAGGGTGAGTGTTATGGGAGAAAAGTGGCTTGCACGTGGGGTTGGGAGTAGGCCTGGACACAGCTGAGTGGGAAATGTTTATCGTGCCCTCGTTGGGTATGGAGTAGAGATGGCCAGGAATGGCCTTCTTTCTCTCTCCCCGAGACAGATTTCAGAAACCCGGCAGAGCAGTAGATCATACTCAGTCATCCACTTCCTCAGTGTGGGAGCCTCAAACATTCGCTATCTGACCAGCATCTTTGCCCATAAGGCAGCTAATTTTATGGCAATCACGTGGCCAGGGCTACAGCAGTGCGCAACTCCTGGTGCTGCTGTTCACTAGGTGGCATCGACGACTGCAGGCGCGAGGAGTTATGATGCAGTGCACAGGCTGTGCAGTGGTACACAGCAGCTTTGGGCTGGGGACTCTTCTCTGTGAGAAGAACTCATCTTTCTCCATGAACCAGGCCCCCCAAACATGCGCCCTCATTGGTCCCTAGCACCTGCACTCACTGGTCCTTATACATGGGCAGCTAGCTCTTGCTTGTGCTTTGACGTGGTCCGTTGAGCTGGACCTGGGTTACCTGCTGGGACATGGAGCTCCTCTTTCCGCAGAGCCGGCCCCTACTCTCTGCCGTGGGCCTCGTGCGCGTTGCCACCCTGGTGCTGGTCCTGGTGGAGCCTCTGGGACAGGTGGATGCCCCGAAGAAGGTAAGAGTCTACTCTAGGGCCAGCTCCTTTGTCTCCTGACCACTGCCCACACCCCTTTCCGCCACCATCTTCTCTCCCCGCAGGTGGGAAAGGGCTGTCCTCTCAGTCAAACCTTGAGGTTCCACGGTCAGGAATCCCAAGTTCCCTGGGGAACAAGGGAAGCGAGATGGCCACAACTCCTCACCATAAGCTGCCTCCCCCAGGCTCCCTAGGACTTAGGGAGCTTCTGTAAAGAGCGGGTCCTAGATCACTGGAGTTGGTTAGGAGTATGTCTACACGTGTGTCTTTTACATGGAACTGAAAGTGAGGAGGAATGTCAAGGGATGACATAGGTGTCAGGGGGCTTTCATAGGCCTCAGGCCCTAGTTGAATTCAGTTAGCCTTGGGAGGGGCCTCGGTCTTACTGGCCTCAAGGAACAGCGAGGCCTGGACCCAGGATACCGAGTCCTGCCTTTGGTGGGAGGGAGGAGGGTTGGAATGGTTCCTGGCCAAACAACTTCTTGTGACCTCCAGCCTCAGTGCCCAAGGCCTGCAGACCAAAGTCTGCTCTGTATCTCACTTTTATCTTTGGCCCTGGTTTGGCTGGGCTACTTCCCTCAGCCTGAGTCTTCTAGTTCTAAAGTCTAGGCCAATCCTGAGCCCCCAGGGAAAGCAGTTGAGCCCCAAGTCTAATCCCAACCCCATTTTCATCCCATAACACTAACCCTCAAATTCTCCCTTCTCCCTGCCCCATGGTCTGTATTCCCAGCGGGAACCAGAGAGGAAGGTGCCTGACTGGCCTTGGGACTGATGAGTGGGCCAGGTGGGAGAAGCAAAGGGAGGTCAGAGGGGAAGGGACATGCTTTATAATTAAACTCAAATTTAAAAAATAGAAACAGCAGCCAGTGTGCAGAGACAGGCAGCTGGAAACCCACAGCACATGCTGCCCATCAGAGAAGACCACAGCCCCAGTCAACTACTGTCACAGGCGAGTCCCTCTGTTTCATGGGGGCCACCGAGCATGCTGGGTAAGCAGGGTCAGAATGCGCATGCCCACCAGGGGTATGGTATCAATGGGGAGGTCTGGGAGACCTAATGGGTCAGAGATAAAAAAGACCTGGGTTTAAATCCCGTCTTCCATCTTATCTTACAGGAGGTTTGACTATGTGCCCTTGGGCACGTTACTGAACGGCTCTGAGCCACAGTGTCCTCATTTTTAAAACGGGGACAATAAGATCAAGCATAAGAGCCTGTCGGCACAAGAGTTCATTGCTCAGTTACTGACCACAAGCTAGTGGTCCAAACCCACCCCATCGCTGGCTCACGGGAGAAAGATCTGGTGATCTGCAGCCTGCGATCACAGCCAGGGAAACCCTGCCGGACAGTTCCTTCTTTCTAACCTTATTGCGATTTGAATGCAGTTTCCAGAGCAAAATGATTGTTCATTCACAGTCCGTGCACATTTGTTTTGTGACACGAATGGCAGTCTCCCAGGGTGCCACAGCACGCTTGCCACCTCCTGTGTTTGCTGTTTCTTTCCTACCCATCCCTGCCTGCTTGCCCAGCTTTATTCCTGCACCGTGCCACCCTTTGCTCTCACACGGTTGGCTGTCCAAGGAGCGAGGACTTCTCTGGTGAGCCTGTGTGTTGTTTGGCTGAACGCTGAGCCATGAGGATGAGTTCCATTCCAGGCTTGCAGGGTGACTGACAACCATAGAAGGGGCCCTGGTGGTGCTGTCAGGCAAGTTTTGGACTGAGGTGACAGCCTGGGAGACCCTGTAGGGTCCCTGTGAGTTGGAACCAACCCGGGGGTAGCGGGTTTGGGTTTTGCTGTTGTTGTCTCAGCCTATGGGACAGTTCTATCACGTTGGACTACTGTGGGTCAAAAGCCAACTGGACCGCATGTGTCAGCAATAAAAGAATCTACACCTAAGGGAACTGCGAGGACTGACTGAGAGAACGTAAGCACCTTGCTCTTTGCTTGGCACCCAGTCCATGCTTAATAAGTGGTGGACATGATAACAACTCGGGCTGGGCAAAGAATGTGTCAAGAGACAGAAGGAGAAAGGAGACTGATTCTCACTGCACCTTGAGGAAGTTACCCTTTGCCAAGGAGTGCCAGAAATAGCAAGAATGCCAGTGACAGTAAGATGTGCCCTTTATTGAGCATCTCCCATGAGGGAGGTCCTGTGGTAGATGCTTTCCATTTATGATCTCACGGACTTCGCACGGATGACCTTGGCTCACAGAAAAGATCACACAGGTCCCAAGTAACAGCCTGGAGAGTCCCACCAAGTCCTATCACCTCCGAGAACGCTTTCTGCATGCAGGAGGTGCGGAAGGCCCTGGAGGAAATGGCCTGCCAGTGAGAGAGGGCAGGAGATGGGAAAAGCAAGCTAGAAAGCGCCACAGACAGAGCTTGTAAGGAGCAGCAAACAAAGAATAGGAAAGTCATGCTCCACAGTTCGCCACTCAGCTTCCTGGGGAGAGGGGGAGGGGGGATAAGTGGGGAGGGGCAAGGAGGAGCAGGGGGACAGAATGAGGGCTGGGGAGGGGGCTGGGGGTGGTGGGGGTGGTGGAGAGGACCTGGCCAGGCCTGTCCCTGTTGCATGCTGCACCATTCTTCACCCTGTGCCTTTGCCAAGGAGCTATGGGAGGAAATGTCAAGCAGGGCTCTCCACGGCCCAAAGGTGGGGACATCAGAAGCCAGGGAAGCCTGGAGTAGCCACCAACTCCCCTTCCTGGCTGTGCCGGACACCCCAAGGATGAGTCACTAGGCTGGTAGCGAGGCCCAACTCGAAGCATCAAGGCAGGCTGAGCCCCAAGTGGGAAAAAGCTGACAGGCAGAGGCGTGGCCGAGGGCACCAGGAATAAAGCCTTAGGACACAACTGGCAACTGATTGCTGCCAGCTGATTCTGACTCACAGTAACCCAATGTCACAGAGTCGAGCTTCCTCATCGGGCTCCGAATGCGGTTATCTTTAGGGAAGTAGGTTACCAGGCCTTTTCTCCGCTGTCGCAGGTGGTGCAAATCATCAGCGTTTTGTCCGCGAAATGCTATTGCACCATGAAGGTTTCTTCAGAACTTGATAACAAGTCCCATGAAATCCAACGAAAAGCGCTTTTCCCCCACATCTGGGCTGCGGTCCCCCAGAAGGCTGAAGGTTGAGATGTGGCCTAGATATCCCTAAACCTTTACTTCTGCGCTGGCTCCTCTTCCTCACAGGATGTCCAAGAAGAGCCTCGGGATCTAGCTTTGTCTCCATCTAAGCAGGAACCTGGCAGCTTGCTCCCAGACTTGAGTGGGGCAGCAAGGAGGCTAGTGGCCACCAGAGGGCGGCGTTACCCCATGCCAAACTCACCGGCCTACACCTTTCCTGTTAAGGGGCTTTCAGAAGTCCCATCTGGCTGGTCTAGGGCTCTTGCAGTGGCTCCAGACCAGTGTGTAAGTTAGACTCCCCTTAAACCCATGGTCTTCTTCCAACCCAACATACACACACCACTCTCTCTGTCCAGTAGCTACTGTTTACACAGCCCTTCTCTCATTCTCGCCCATATAAGCTCCAATTAGGCTGGCAAAGAGCAATTGCCCCAGAGAAGAACACAAACTTGCTAAAGAATGTCATCGTAGTCAGTGCCAACCATGACCAGACTTCACTGCCTCCCTCTAACATTTCTTTCCACCCCTCCAAGTAGCCTCCCATCTTCAAGGGTTTACAGGGCTAAGAGTCTTCCATGGCAAAGAGATGCCACAAAGCAAGAGGGGCTGGGGGTTTGTTTGGGGAGACGAAGTGCTTCAGCCCACAGTGTCCAAGGTCTGCTCTCAGGCCCCACCCCCATAGGCCCCAAGGGACCTGGAATTCTACACGCTTCACAGCATCTGTGTTCTAGGCGGAACCTGCCCAGCCAGCCCTGTTCTGCCCCAAGGGCTGAGTCCTACCTTGCTCATCTCCCCCCTCCCAGCCCCAGAGAATGTCCTAGGTAGGTGGCAGGCCACCCAGCCTGCCCTGAGAAGCCACAGTTGGGGATGAAGGGGAAATCTGGGTCTTCACTTCCACCCTACCTTCCAGTCACCCGCTGGGTGAGCTTGGCCAAGCCAGTGGCCTCCTGGATGCCAGTCTCCCTTCCTGTTCCTGGTACCCTCTACCAAAAAGAAAAGGCACTCATCCCAATGGGCACCTTCCCTAGCTACTGGTTCAGGGGACCAGGAACAGTTGGCCCAGATGGGTACTCCTTCCCACCACCGCACCAGGGCCACGTCCTGGTGCCACTGAACCCCCAGCTCTGCAGGGTCCCGAGTTCTGTCAGCCAACTGAATTCTGACACAACCCACCCCATCCGTGGGAGGCCTGACCTACAACAGCGGGGGTAAGGAGGACAAGCCCTGGGTTTACGGACTGATGTATCCCTCAGGAATGGCAGGTCCCCTTGAGGAGATGGTCCCCGGAGATGGGAAGGGAGGGGTATGGGGATGTGGTTGAAATAGTACAGAACTGGATTTATACCCCACCCTCCTTGGAAACCCCAAGGGGGCAGTTCTAGTCTGTTGTAAGGATTGCTCTGAGGCAGAACTGACTCGATGGCTGTGAGTTTGTTTGTTTGTTTGCCATTAATTAGACATCTATTGGTATATTGGACATTGGTAAAAAAATATCTGACCCTCGGTTTCCTTCTGCATAAAATGGAGGCTATGATACTCACTTTACACATTATGAAGAGATGAAATGGGTTAATTTTTGTGTGGCACCTGATCTAGAAAAGTCGGTAGAACAATCTGTGTGGAAATGCTGACAAGATCATCACCCTGATATGAGCCTGCCTTCCAAGCACCTGAAACTGGAAGAGGACAAGAGCCTTCGATGCCACAGAGATGCCACACAGAGAGAGGGTCTTAGGGTTAAGGGAAGGCCTGCCCTTGAAGTAGTGGGGATGGAGTCTTGAGATCAGCTACCCCGTTTGGAGGCCCTTTCCAGGAAGCCTCTGAGGGCCACTGTGTTCCCGAGTCTTCATTCAAAGTCTCAAATGATCAGCCACTTTAGGTAGGGCCTGCCCAAATGACTGCCACAAACAGGGAACACCAAGGGCCTCTTAGCCACAGTCTCCAACCCCAGTGGCCCTGATTTCAGAGGGATTGATTTCCTTGTTCCCTGGGGAGATGCTAGACCTTAGCCCGAGCTGAATGGGTCACTAGCTGCGGACTCTATCACAGCCCATCAGGGGCCCCTGAGCACTGTGTCTCAGTGGGCCTGCCCTCAGCCTGCCCCACACTTGGGGAGCTTATGCCCTGCCCTACAGCCACCACTGTGATGCCTCCTTTTGTCTAGGATGAACTCAATGCAGAAGCAGGACTTCAGGAGGCCCAAGATCCATGGGGCGGTCCGGGTGATCCCCTACCAGGCACCCACTTTGGCCTCACTGCAACGGCTGCTGTGGGTCCACCGGGCTACGATGTTGACACACATTGATGAGGTCTGGCCCAAACTCTTCCTGGGAGATGCGTAAGTAAGGCCCTTCAGTGTTTGGGGGACAGAAGCGAACCCCTCTTCACCTCCCACCATCTTTTTCCATACGTTGATCTCATTACTAATGTCGTTTTTAACTGTGAGGCATAGCATTCATTAAAAAAGTACAGGCCTGGAGTTGATGCATGCTGCCCCTGGGGCCCAGGGAGGCAGTGTGTGACTGAGAAGCCAGCATAGGAGTAGGTGTCCAGGAACCTAGTTCTTAGCTCTGGCTACACCACTAATCTTCTGCCACCTTAAGTGTGATTCTTAACTTTTAAAAAAAATTATTTTATTGGGGCTCGTACAATTCTCATCACAACCCATACATCCATCCATCGTGTCAAGCACATCTGCACATTTGTTGCCCTCATCATTCTCAAAACATTTGCTTCCCACTCTAGCCCCTAATATCAGTTGCTCATTTTCCCCCCTCCCTCCCTACTCCCCCCTCCCTCATGAACCCTTCATAGTTCATAGATTATTATAGTTTTGTCATATAGTTACCCTGTTTCCCTCCGCCCTCTTCTCTGCTGTCCATCCCCCAGGGAGGAGGCAATACTTAGATTCTTGTAATTGGTTCCCCCTTCTGCCCCACATTCCCTTCAACCTCCAGGCATCGTCCCTCTCACCACTGATTCTGAAGGAGTCATCTGTCCTGGATTCCCTGTGTTTCCAGTTGCTCTCTGTACAATGTACATCCTCCGGTCCAGTAACTTTTCTTGTGCTCAGTCCCCCCATCTCACGTTGTCTTCCAGCTCTAAAAAGCCATGATTCTATGAGTACATGCCAGCCTGCCACCTGCAGTGCAGCCTCAGGCCCTCTCAGACAAGAGGCTGGGTGAACTCCGGCTGTCCCTAAAACCCAGCCGTGCAGCACTCTCGTGTGACTCACGCCTTAAGGGCACTACCTCCATTTTCTAATCCATCAAGTGCTGAATTTGTTGTGCTGGCTCTCTTTCAAGTTAATATCCCGGTATTATAAAAATCAAGAAACACATTGAAAACAGATCTTTAAGTGCATAAGGTCAAAAAATAGGACCTGGACCCCTGAAAGCCCTGCTGAGGCCTCCTCGCCCAAGCTCCTGCGCTCTGCCCTGTAGGTGGCGCCCTCCTAACGGCTGAGGTCATCCTGTCCTCCCTCTCTGCCTTCTGCTGGGACGTTAGAACCGGAATCTCTACGGCAAATCAAGGCCTTTTCCCTCAAAGCTTTCTTAAAACTTAGGAAATATGGATAACTACATATGGATTTCAGAAAATATACTTAATTTTTAGAAAATGAATTGTTAGTATAACAAGTTGCTTCCTCACATACAGGTACTCCATAATCAAATCCTTGGGAACTTTACAAATAGGCATACACAGATAGGACTTTATGAACGGTATGACACTAGGAAACTTTTTAATAATCTACTTTCCACAGAAAGCATTTTTCATGGACTCACATTACATAATTTGCCCCACCACAGCACGTGCTGCCACGGCCACGGCCACTGCGGCCACCAGCAGCTCTGCAGTTCAGTGGTGGCGTAGGGTTTCATCACTTACAGACAAGCTCTATAGCAACTACATAGTAGTCTGGGTTTTCATCCTTTTAATTTTTCATAATTGTCTCTAGATTCATATGTGCCTGGGTACATTTTGGATGGTTTGCTTAGTTCAGTTCCTATAAGGAGAATTTCTGCAGCAATGTGTACACACTTAATTATCTATCCACTCATTTATTTACACATGCACAAACATGTGGCCAAACTACTCTCCAGAAAAGTTGCTCTGAGTTCAACATCATCTTAAAAACTTTCACTGGAGAAGTCCTTTAGCCCAGGTTAACCCCCTGGTTCTATTATCTGCCCAGATTGGGGGATGGGGGTCGAGGAGGGAGAGGAGGTCAGTGGCTGCTCAGCCAGAACCAGAACTGCCCTCTTAATTACTCTTGTGCTTTCTCTTCCAGGTACGCAGCCCGGGATAAAAACAAGTTGTCCCAGCTGGGCATCACCCATATCGTGAATGCTGCTGCGGGCAAGTTTCAAGTGGATACCGGTGCCAAGTTCTACAGAGGCATGGCTTTGGAGTACTACGGCATCCAGGCAGAAGACAACCCCTTCTTTGACCTCAGTATCTACTTTTTGCCTGTTGCTCGATATATCCAAACAGCCCTCAGTGTGCCCCAAGGTGAGCCGCAGGGGAAGGCACTGGGGTGGGGTGGGATGGGACTTCTGGGAAGTGACTTTCTAGTGGCACTGACGGGTAAGATGCCAAGAGTCACACACCTTTTCAACAACCCTCCCACCCCTACTAACATTTCAGCCCCTTTAGTGACTACCTAGAAAGCAGCCATCACAACGAAGGGCCAATGTGGTAATCAGTGTCATCCTATCACACGTGTGGTTGGGCTGCAGCTAGAAGATCTACTCAAAGGTTCTTGAGCACACCCCTCTAAGGGGAGGCATTAACATAGGGCTGCAGGGCCACGAGAGAGACACACCTTGGTGTGGGCTAGGGAGAGCGGAGAAGGTAAATGGACATCCCCTGTTACTTGATGCAAATCCAGGGGACCCTGAGAATATAGCCCAGAGCTGCAAAGGAGATAGAGGAAGTCGTCTCGATTAAGAAAAGGGCATCCCAGTTGCCAACTGTAGACTTGTTATTAAATTGCTGTATGACCCTTCACTTCTCTGGGGCTCTGTTGCCCCAGGTTGCTGTGATGGGCGGTCTGGGTGATGAGTAGAGGTGTCTCTGATTCCCACAGGGATGGGTGGTATGAGAGAGGTAGCTGACGCCAGCTTGGGTTTCCCTACAGGCCGAGTGCTGGTTCACTGTGCCATGGGGGTTAGTCGCTCCGCCACGCTGGTCCTGGCTTTCCTCATGATCTACGAGAAGATGTCATTGGTGGAGGCCATCAAGGTGGTGCAGGCCCATCGCGATATCTGCCCCAACACGGGCTTCCTCCGACAGCTCCAGCTTCTGGATAACCAACTGTGGCGAGACACAGGGCGCCTTTGACCTTAACCACCAGCCAGGAACTCTGACCCTCTGGCCAGCATGGCCCAACCCAACTATCCTGACCCTGGGGACAGCAGCCTCCATTGTTTCCCCAGATCCTGAGACCTAACCAGCAAGTGAGGGCTTCCAGGAAGCAGAGGCAGGGCTACTGGATGGTAACCTTTAGCTAGGAGATTTCCCTGACCCAATTCAGAGATTCTTTATGCAGAAGAGAGTAAAGTCTGTCTCTATAATAAAGGATGCATCATACTAAAGACAGAAGACCTTGTGGTGGTTTGTGAGGTAATGGCGTATTCCCAGAATGGCTTAGTGATGTTTCGAGGGTGGTTGGTATTGTTAGGTGCTACGTTCCACTTCATAGGGGCCCTGTGTCCAAGAGAACAAGCACTGCGTGGCCCTGCGCCATCCTCACAAGTGTTCTGTTTGAGCCCATCGTTGCAGCCACTGTCAATCCATCTTGTCTAGGGCCCTCTCTTTTCCCCGGCTCCTCTACTTTACCAAACATGTCCTCCAGGGACTGGTCTCTCCTGAGACCATGTCTAAAGTACATGAGACAAAGTCTTGCCATTCATGCTTCTAAGGAGCATTCTGGCTTTATTTCTCCCAAGATAGATTTGTTTGTTCTTTTGGCAGTCCATGGTACTTTCAACATCCTTTGCCGGCACCATAACGCAAAGCAGCAAATGTTCTTCGGTCATCCTTAGACAGTGTCCGACTTCCACATGCACATGAGGCCATCGAAAATACTATCCTAAAATACTATCCGTTGGGTCAGATACACGTTAGTCTTCAAAGGAACATCCTTGGGAGTTAACTTGGGTGAAAGGGGAGAGATTAGACAATAAGAGAGCAGGGTATATAAAAAAATAATGGAGACAGGGCAAGGCATTGGAAAGTTTGCAAGTATTAAAGGCAACAGAGGCAAATACTTGAACATAGACAATCCTGCAATAGTGGTGATCTTTCGGTAGATGCTTAGATAGATGTGTAGGCTGCACAGGTGCTGGGTGGAAGAGTTTGAATATACCCACAAACACATAGAGATTTGACAGAGGCTAGCTCTGCATGTGTTTGTTTCTTTGTTGCATATATTTCCATGAATGTGATGGAGCACAGAGAAGACAGTTATTAAAACTTCTTAGACATAATCAAACTCCCTGAGGGAATGAGTCACTGGACCTGGGGGATCAGTACCATAATTTGGGGGATACCAAGGTCTATGGGCATAACATGGCTCACAAAGACAACGTTCTATATCCTATTTGAGTGAGTAGCAACTGGGGGTCTTCCATGCTCATGTGCAGCCATCAAAGGTGTAGCCATCGGTCGCTCCCCACCCAGAGGAAAGAAGAGTGATGACAATCAGAAGAGCTGTGGAGATCTTAGTCAGTGGTTAATTGGATCATGCAAACATCAGTCTCCATGACCCTGAGACCAGAAGAACCCTGTAGTGCCCAGCTACTACGACTGATGATATGAGGGGTACCCAAAAAACCCAGAATTTTTTTCAAAGCTATGTATTTAATTTTGTTTTTACAAAACAACCTATCACCTTTAAAGTACTCTCCATTACACTTAATACACGCTGTTCTCTTAAATCAGCCATCACAAAAAATGAGGTTCAAGCAAAACTGCTTTTCTGAAAAATTTACTGTGACCCGAGAGAACTCCCCAGGTGATGCCACTGGGTGCACTAACTCAGAGTGAGTTGCTAGATGCTCACCTAGTGGGGAAAGTGAAAGCTCCACTCCACCCAGCAAAATTACAGTTTTTGCGGGGGTACCTCCTCATATTGCAAAGTTTTGAATAGAGTAGGAGAAAAATGTGGAACAAAACTCAAACTCATAAAGTAGACCAGGTTTGCTAGTCAGAAAGAGATAGGTAGAACTCCAGAGACTATGGCCCGTAGTCACCCTTCGATTCTGTGACTGAACCATCCCCGTGCTTTAAAATATCAACCACAAAAGTTCTAAAGGGCAGCATTAACCCAATGTCAAAGTTCAGAGGGTTAGGAAAGAGAAAAAATGGAAATAGGAAACAGGAAAAGGGGAATGGGTTTGAAGAGATTGCAATGGATGAATTGAAACAAAAATGTGCATGAATTGTTGAATGTAAGCTGTTGATCTGCTCTGTAAAACTTAACCTAATTCACACACACACACACACACACACACATACACACACGTCTGAATAACAATAAAAGATAAATGCTGCACTATCCTCTCAGTAACCACCCAATCAAAATACTCTGTGTACACAAATAGCATCTCTTGGATGCAATCAATCTTTTATTTTTACAAGAGTTGACTAAAATTATAGACACCTAAAAATAAGAACATTAAATAAAAGGATAGTTTGGGAGGAGACACACCAGAAATCCCTGGCAAATGGTGGTTTTCTGAAGGAACAAGACTTAGCTCTGAATGTTTAGTTTTCATGCTCTGGTAAAATAAAACAATACAGAAAACTCCTGGGCCCCTCATCTTTAAATCGCACATATCCCAAGACATTTGTGAAAATAGACTGGGTTGCTCTCCTTCTGTCTCTCTGATTGCTCCTCGGGTGTTGGACTGCAAACTGCAAGGCCAGCAGTTCAAACCCACCAGTTGCTTCATGGGAGAAAGATGAGGTGATCTGCCCCCATAAAGAATTATAGACCCCCCCCAAAAAAAGAATTATAGCCACCCCCCCAAAAGAAGAATTTTAGCCCCTTATCATCAAACAAGCAGCCATCTACGTGAGGCATCAACTAAGTCCACATGGAAGAAGCATACCAGCATGTGACCCAAGGATTATAAGTAATATAATCCAAATCCAAAGGAGGGAGTGGTATCAGAGCTTAAATTGTGAACTCTTGGTTTGTAGAGGGCTGTGGGTGACAGTGGAAGCCCAAAATCCATTTTCCAGATCTACACATAGAATAGACCTCCGGTGATTTCCCTCTTACCCTAGTGGAGGGATATGAATCGTCTGGTCATCAGAGAGAGAATATTGTAGAGATAATAATTGTAGATCAAATGTAACATCTGATTTGAATGGTTAAAATGTAACCACTGACTTGATCCCCCACCCTTTTTACAGGTATATTAGCACATAATCATACAATTCAATAGTCCAATCATATCAAGAATTGTACAATCATTACCACATCAATTTTAGAACATTTTCCTTTTTTATTGCATGATTAAACAGCTTTAAAAATGAGTTGTGTAATCACAATCAGTTCTAGTGCTCCCTCCCCCTTCCTGCATACCTTGTTTGCTCCCCAAATCCCCTCACCCCCGTCTCCCACCCTTCATCAGTTATAATCTCTATTCATCTAATCCTTCTGTGCGAAACAATAAAAACCAAAATAAAGTAGTAAGGATAAACTAATAATATAAACATACAAATAATAAGTAAGAAAGAAAAGATGAAGTATTTTGACATGCATAAGTGATGTAATTTCAGCTTTTCAGCATGTCCCAGTCGTCTATCTCCTCCATTACATTTGGTAGTCTAAGTACGTCCTTCAAGAGGGCCCTTCATTTTGTTCCAGCCTTCTCCTTGATGATCCTGAGAGCCCAGGACTTTAGATTTATTCAGGTCTTGAATCCACCTTGAGTTCATGTTTGTGCATGGGTAAAGATAGGGGTCTTGTTTCATTTGTCTGCAGATGGAAACCCAGTTTGTCCAACACCGTGTGTTGAAGAGACTCCCTTTCTCCATTGGATAGTTCTGGGTCTTTCATCAAAGATTAGTTGCCCGTAGGCTGATGCATTGATGTCTGGGTTTCCTGTTCTGATTCATTGGTCCATGTTTTGACTACTGTGGCTCAGTTATGTCCAGTAGACTTTTGGTGGAGATTATGGGGTTTTGTTTTTGCTTATTCCCTTTATGGACATGGTTTATTATCAGGTGCACGTGGGCAAACCACTGAGAACGGAGGGTGGAGGGCCAACAGACCAGACGTTGGGCTGGGTAATCTCAATTAGCCTGGAGGAGGGTATTGCGTTCCTGGCATGCTGACCAGTAAACCTGTGATGATGATTAACCCCGGGAAGATGAGGAGGCTGAAGACCAGGGCACCGATGTTCAGGCCCCTGGCGGTGGACACGTGTCTGGGTGTCTCTGGGTCTCAATCATGTCGCCCACCGTCTTCCAGTCCCGAGACTTCACCACGGACGGAGGCCACGTGCCGCAGGTTCTGGTATGTCTGACCAATAGGTTTCAGCTGCGACTAATCCTGAGACTAATACCTGGCACGTGATCACTGCTAGCAGAGCAGTGGAAACAACCTCAGCGGTGGGTGCCCTTCCTTGGGAAGCCACAATGTCAAGGCTCTGCTGCTGAGCTTCTTCAGTTGTCCCCAGGTCGCGGGAAGACAGTGCGGGTGACGAATAGGTCCCGGC